CCACAGCCTCCAGCCCTGGGGGTCCTGGTAGCAGGAGGGTCGCATGGTTGACACACATTGTCTCTCTCTGCAGTGCTGTGTTCCTGGTGACCTACCTGGTGCTGGCCTGCTGCCAGGGTCCCCGGTGAGTTGCTGGTGGCTGGGACCACTGTGATGGGGAAGTATGGATATAGAGGGAGGGTACCCTAGGGCAGAGCAGGGTCTTTGCCTGGGGCTGCCCCCAGGGAATGGGGACCATGGGGACACAACATAGACACTGTCACCAGCTAACCTCCCTATCCTGGTTTCATTTGCAGGAGACGCTTTCCCTGGAACATCATCCTGCTGAGCATCTTTGTGAGTGGAATGGGGCTGGGGGTGGGGGTTGGTGGTGCCCCCATGCCACCCCAGCTCCCCACTCAGGCTGGGATGGACAGGGGGACAGGCAGGGGCAGCCAGGAACTGCTGCCCTCCATGGGGCTACTCACCCCTTGAGCCTACCCTTCTTCTCTCCTGCAGACGCTGGCCATGGGGCTGATGACAGGGACAATTGCCAGGTATGCCCTGGGCCCTGTGGTGACAGGAGCTGGGGTCCCTCTTGTCCTGCACGAGGCGGCTGGCTCAAATGAGAGGCTGTTGGGAGCCAGGGGACAATCTGGTCCCCTGGGGTTGGGGACAGCAACGTCCGTGTTCAGGATCGGGGCTGGGAGTGTCACCAAAACCCCCCTGTGAGGGGGATGCTGAATCTTGGGGTGACTCTGGTTGTCCCCTCCATTTGCAGCATGTACCAGACCAATGCTGTCCTGATTGCCATGCTCATCACTGCCATTGTGGCCATCACTGTCACCATCTTCTGCTTCCAGACCAAGGCAAGGAGTGGGAGACCAAGGCAAGGAGTGGGACATACCCTGCCCTGCCCTGGTAGTGGGGGGTCAGGGAGAGGAAGCCAGGCAGTGGGACACCCTGGGCTCTCCTGTGACATGTGTGTCTCCCCTGTCAGGTTGATTTTACGTCATGTCCAGGTCTCTTCTGTGTGCTGGGCATCGTGGTCATGGTGACTGGGATAGTCACCGCCATCGTCCTCTCCTTCAGATATGTGAGTGGGGGGGCAGAGGGGCTGTGGGGTGCCCCCAGGGCTGGCAGGGGGGTTCAGGTGGCCCCCTTTGCCAGGAAGCAGGGTGTGGTCCTGGCCACGGCACAGGTAGGTTTGCCCGCAGGGAGAGGGTAGGTTGGCATCAGCAGCAACTCCTGGGATCCGGGTGCGGGCAGGACGTGCCCTGCCTTGTCTGCTGCCTGCCAGGCTCACCCTACCCGTGTCCCCTTCCCCATGCAGGTCCCTTGGCTCCACATGCTGTACGCAGCCATCGGCGCCATTGCCTTCACCCTGGTGAGTTGATGGCTGGGGTGGGCAGAGGGTGGCAGGCAGGGACTGGGAGGGGGAACCCTGCCTTGGTCCTTGCCTGATGCTCTCTGCCCCACGCCAGTTCCTTGCCTATGACACTCAACTTGTGCTGGGGAACAGGAAGAACACATTAAGCCCCGAGGAGTACATCTACGGTGCCCTCACCATCTACACTGACATCATATACATCTTCACCTTCATCCTGCAGATCGTGGGCCGAGATTAGCCTGGGACCTCTCCTGTCCCTACCCTGCTGCCCCTCACCCCTTTCTCTGGCCTCTGTACAGGATACGGCTCCTTACCACCACTCCTAATGCTTCGGCATCCCTACCCATAAGGAAAGGGCTTCCCTTGACCCAGCCCCACAAGCCTCCAAGGGTAGCGTGGAAGAACCGGCTGCCTGTGTTTAGGCAGTGCCCAGCCTCAGCACTGCTTGCTGAGGCCATGCCGGCGGTGCCAGGCGGGTAGCAGAGTGCCACAGTCCTGCCTGGGCTCAGGGAGCTCGCAGCAGCACTGAGATTGTGTTGGGATATTTCTGGAGAACCCGGTTGGTGTCATTCACTCGGTGCCTTAAATGTGGCTAGGGCCGTGCCCCATTCCTGAGCTGCGGCAGTGCCAGGTGTGGGTAGGGGGCAGCGGGGACCCCTGCGGTGGGACTCATGGCCGAGCTCGTGTTGCCAAGGTCCTGCAGCCGGGGACGTGGACAAAGTTGCACTTGCTAAATAAAACACTTTACTTTTCCAGACTGTCCCAGTCTGACTGCTGTGGCGACTCCCCCGAAACCCTGCAGGCAGCCTCCATGGGGGCTGCAGCCCTGGTAGTGCAAACACTGCTTTGAATTGGACAAACCAAGGCCAAGCTGTCCCACGACTGGCCTCCCTCCCTGGTCTGTACCCCTCC